CCGCTAGCCCCTGGCCTCTGCTCACTGTAGGCCGCCGCCGCTCACTCTAGGCCGCCGTATGTGACGCTGTGTTTCACACTCAGTCACGGCGTCATCAAACTACGCCTTTGTCTCTTTGGTTACGAAGATTTATATAGTAGTTGTTTTTTAGCATGTAATTTTGGCAGTGTTATTTTTTAGGATTACTGATAAACTACTGTCATTTGATTTGTATTATTTGTATTTGTTATTTATTTTAATTTAAGTTAAATGATGTCTGAATTTATTATGTCTGTATAGGTCTTTTATTAAGTTTTTAGTTTTATTTAATTTGAGTTATTTTAATACTTCAACAAACTAAATGGAAATGAAATCATATATATATTTAATTTATAAATTTGTATGTATATATATATATATATATATATGTATGTTTGTGTGGTTGTACATACACATATATGTAGTTGTTTTTTGGCTTAGTGTTGTTAGAATCATTATTATACTCTTGTACCAATGAAATTAAATGATAATGTTCCACCTTTTTAAATGTTTTTAAAATCTAACTCTAAATTAATACATTTAATACAGTCACCTAGAAAACATAGTCATATTTACCGTTTGCGATGGTTGATCGTTGATCTGTGTGTCGATTCTCTAGATGGATGTTAGTGTGAAGGCCAGAGGTGAGCTTTGGCTTTTATTTGAATGTTATGCATTAAATCAAGAAGAGGCGGAGATTGTGATATAACTGCAGGATAGAAGTGAATGCATTTATTATTATTATTATTTGTATAATATCTTCCCCTTAAAGGGATAGTTCACCCAAAAATGAAAATTCTGTCATCATTTACTCACCCTCATGTCCTTCCAAACCTATATGACTTTTTCTTTCTTCTGTAGAAAACCAAAAATGTATATTTTCAAGAACTTTGGATCCCATTGACTTCCACTGTATTGACAACAACAACAAAAAGTTTTTCAAGATATCTTGTTTTGTGTTCCACAGAAAAAAATTATTCATACAGGTCTGGAAACACATGAGGGTGAATAAAAGACACAACATTTTTGAATCACACTTGAATAAACTGTCAAATAATTTTTCTTGATTTTAAAAGCAACAGTAGTTTTTATGTATTTAAACGATAGGGCTTGATGTGATTAAATGGTAGTCTTTCACATCAATTTGGTGTTTTAGCCAGCAATACAATACATATTAGTAATAGTAATCACTTATTACTAATCACTTATTACACTTATTTTCTAGATTTTCAGGGAATTTCGCTTTTTAAGGTTTATTCTATCTGCCAAGTATGGAAACCCATTTCCGCCGCTGAATAAAGAAAAAAAAAAAAATCTCACAATCATGTGAGATTTTTTTTTCTCAGAATTGCGTGAAAGAAACTTGCAATTGCGAGCTACAAAGTCAGAATTGTATTATTTATTTCTGACTATATAACTCACAATTGCGAGTTTATATCTCACAATTCTGAGAAGAAAAAAGGTCAGAATTGCGAGTTTGTATCACACAGTTCTGAGAAAAAAAAGTCAGAATTGCGAGATGTAAACTAAAAAAATAAATAAATCAGAATTCTGAGATGTGCAGTAACTTTTTATTTTTTTATTATTATTATTATTATTATCTTTTGTTTTTATTCGTGGAAACGATCTTCCATAATCATGCAAATTTGAGTAGGTGTAAAGTTTTGCATCAGCTGGAAGAGGTTCTGTCACTATAGGAATTGGTTAATCATGGGTTGGTTGTTAATCTGGAGGATCTATGACAAAGTGAAACCTGCCAGAAAGAAGAAAATTTGCATATCAGGTGAATGATAATACCCATAAAATGTTTGAAGGTCAACACACAGAGTCATGTTGATTTTTGGTTGTTCATTAATTCTGCTAAAGTATCAAAGACTATGCTTTAATGCTTTAATTTTTTTTCTGTACATTAGAATATGACCCGTTTAATTTTACATTTTTTTCTGACTATTATATATTTTTACCATGATTTTTAGAAGACACCCACTAAAATGTCATTCAGTGTAACAATAGTTTATATACCATATATACCAAATCTCGTCAGGCATATTTAGAAGAAGAATCAACAGATGACACTCTGTTTAAGCCCCCAAATACTAATTAAATGTAATTTTAAATCTTTATACTGTGTGAATATCCTTCAAACCACTAGGTTTTACCCATTTGTCAGAATTAAGTTTTTTAAGCAAGTGAAAATCTTTTAAAATAAAATTTAATTTGGTATGATCACATATTATGTTTCTATTTTTAGTCGACTAGTCCCGCACATCCCTAATATATATATATATATATATTCATATATATTTGGTATATTGTTATTGAGCGCGCAGATAGTTTTCAGAGCAGCAAGTATATGCAAGATCAGTAATCTGACAAAGGCTGACAAAAAAGTGCTAGAAACTTGTGCAGTCACTGTCACAGGTGCATCCTGTAGGTTTAGCTGGTTGACAAACTGAGAGAGCTGATGTTCAGATCAGGTGGAAGAGTTTGAGAGCTGCAGTGGAGATGACCGTGCAGATCAGAAGTCCAGGCAGCCTCACAATCCCCTCAGGTGAAAGAGATGCTGCAGTAGAAGTGGTGCTGCTGGTTGTGCCGCTGGTTGTGGTGGTGGTGGTGCTGGTTGTGGTGGTGGTGGTTGTGGGGTTTGCTGTTGTGCCACTGGTAAGGCCATAGCTTGCAACCATTACAGCCACTAGCAGTAGTAGTATTTGAGTTTTAGAAGCCATATTCAGGTCTTTCGCTATTTAGATGGGGAAAATAATGAAATTAAATGATAATGTTCCACCTTTTTAAATGTTTTTAAAATCTAACTCTAAATTAATACATTTAATACAGTCACCTAGAAAACATAGTCATATTTACCGTTTGCGATGGTTGATCGTTGATCTGTGTGTCGATTCTCTAGATGGATGTTAGTGTGAAGGCCAGAGGTGAGCTTTGGCTTTTATTTGAATGTTATGCATTAAATCAAGAAGAGGCGGAGATTGTGATATAACTGCAGGATAGAAGTGAATGCATTTATTATTATTATTATTTGTATAATATCTTATTTCATTTTTACATTTTTACAAAAACATATCTGTTACTCTGAATGCCGTTTTGCCAAAAAAAGGAGAAAAATATTGTTCCCATTATTGCAATGTTTCTAGTACTGGTCTGCATCATCAAATTAGCTTTAATCACAATCTGGACTGAATGACAATTTTACAGGTTGGAACATTATTTCACCCGTATTTTGACAATTTATTCTCACAAACGTTATTTGAAACATGAAACTGCATTGAATATTTTTTTCCATCTCTATAAAATCACTTTTATAAATTTGATTTGATGCAGACACCAAAGATGTCTCATATTTGACCCTAAAACAACAACTGTGTGCTCAGTTTGTACTTCTCTCTATCACAATTTACATAATTACTTGGATAGTTGGGCTCAGTTCATGAAGTCTGCTGCAGAGTCAATGATCTTATCTGAACAGATGAACATAAAGAACGAGTGGCAAGGAAATCTTCCTAAGTAGATGAAGAAGAACCAAGACTCGGATTGGGGAAGCCCCTCTTCATATTTAAACAAACTGCAGTGAAAATATTAATATCAGAGTGCTGGTGCCAACTGCTTATTTTCCCCGCTTGTTTTTTTTTGGTTCAAGCTTCAAAGAGACCCAATGTTACCTGGAAGTCCATTAGCAACAATGAGCTTAATGAAGTCTAAATTTCATATATCCATATGAATACATGGATGTTGACAGTTCTTGCTCATTTTGAGGGATTAAGGA